AAGCACAGACCCTGAACCTATCAGTTCTGGCTAACCAACAGACACCTGAACCTATCAGGTTGGTACTCTGACACACAGTAGTACCCTGTCTGACACACTGACTCCCACAACAGCTTCTTCTTCCCAGCTGCTGCTTCGTCACAACCCAGTGTCTCTCAGTGTTTGTCTCAGCATCTCCCTTCCACCACACAGGCATCTCATATTTATACAGTACAGCCCCTCCTCCTGATGTCCCGCCTTCCACTCCCCATAGGATGGAACTTTCCCTCCAAACCCATGACAGACAGGTAACATCAGTGCTGTTATGTAACACCCTTGACCCCTTGTCTGGATTTTTGCTTGGCTTTGCCTCCTGTCCTTGACAGCCCCCCTGCCCCCCCAAGGGCAGCTTGCACCCTGCTGCGAACCCCATAGCCAGAACCCTAATTTAGGACTGCTTGTAACCAGCCGTCGTTGGTATGAAAGGGATCCGTGCTCGCCCCACAGACATGGACACACACATACATGGTGTTGGTGGAGCCCATCTCTGGCTGGGCACGGCAGGACCTGTCACCCCGCTGGGGGGGGGAGCAAGGGAGCCCCAAGATCCCTTGTTCATTTTATGTCTGTGTTTAAAACATGACTCCGCAGCCTTCCTCCTTAAAAAGAAGGGCCTTCCTCGTGTAGGTGTTGGATTTAGTTGCTTCTGGTAGAGCAGATTGGACGTGGGGGTGGGAAACCAGGGGGCCCCCAAGACCTGCTTTCTGAATCTGAAGGCCGTCGTCCGTTTCCTGGACTTCCAAGGGCTCGTGCGGGTAGCCGAGGCGGCCGACCGCCGTGGCCGGCTCTTTGATTCCTGTTTGCCTTCGGTTGCGTTTCAGAAAAAGGGGGTGAAGCGGAAAGCGGACACGACCACCCCCACCACGTCGGCCATCACGGCCAGCCGGAGCGAGTCGCCCACCCCGTTGTCGGACTCCAAGCAGGCCAAGGTGGTGGCCCGGCGGGAGAGCGGGGGCCGCCCCATCAAGCCCCCCAAGAAGGACCTGGAGGACGGGGAGGTGCCCCAGCACGCCGGCAAGAAGGGGAAGCTGTCGGAGCACCTCAAGTACTGCGACAGCATCCTCAAGGAGATGCTCTCCAAGAAGCACGCCGCCTACGCCTGGCCCTTCTACAAGCCGGTGGACGCCGAGGCCCTGGAGCTGCACGACTACCACGACATCATCAAGCACCCCATGGACCTCAGCACCGTCAAAGTAGGGCTCTCGCCTGGGGCTCCCTGGGGGGCTGGGGTTCGGCTGGGTGGGGGCCAAGAGGGCACGATCCACCAGGACGGGGGCTGCCCCACTGGCTTGCCGGGGGCAGGGCAGTCCAGATGCAGAAGGCAGCCAGGCTGGCCTGCTGGGGCCTGAGCCACCCACGTCAGGATCTCCTCCCATGGGGCGGTCCTCTATTGCAGACTCAGCCGGGGGGGGGCGTGTGCGAGCGAATGGAGCAGGCGGCCGCTTCCTATGGAGCCGCTGAGGCTGGGGCAAGCCGGGCTGAGAGGGTGCAGGCAGGTTTCCCCTGCCTCCCTTTGCGACTGGCCCGTCGTTGCAGGAGGAGCAGGGCCCCCGAGCCGGGGTCTTTGAACTCAGCGCCAGGATTCTAGGCAGGACTTGCGAGCCCCGGGCCGCCTGTTGCCCTGAGGATGCTTTGAAAGGGTTGTCTCTCCGTTTCCACTGAAACGATTTTCTTCGGAAAACGAGCTGAGTCGTGGGCTGGAGGCTGGCACGTGGTTTTCTGAGCGGGAGAGGCAAAGCCTGGGCCCCCACGTATCGCTCTGCTTTTACACACACACACCCGGTGCAGTTCTGAATGTCCGACACCCTTGTGGTGGTCCTCCCGTTCGTGGCAGCTCCCCCGTGGTCTGAAAGGGTACCTTACCCCTTGCCAAAGCTTCCTCGCTTTGCCCTTTTCATCCGTGAAGGCGTGCTGCTGATGGCTTTTTCCCTTTCCCGCCCTTCCCCCCTCCATCTCCCCCCTTCCCCCCATTTCTGGCTTCCTTTATTTGCAGAAAAAAATGGACAGCCGAGAATATCACGATGCTCAAGGTTTTGCAGCGGATATTCGGTTAATGTTCTCTAATTGTTACAAGTACAACCCTCCCGACCACGAGGTGGTGGCCATGGCCAGGAAGCTTCAGGTAAACGTGGCTACCAGCAGAGAAACGTAACGGGTCACACCCAAACAGCCCTTGGGAGAAATAAAACGGTGACCGCCCCCCCCGCCCCCCCCAGTCTGCCCCATATGAGAGCTTCCTGCCTGGCGTCGAGAGCAGGCCCAGCTGCCTCTTTCTAGGGTTCGGGCGTTTCCTGCTCCCTGTGTAGGAAGGTCTGGGTTGCAGCTCATTTTGTTGGCATTCCTTTTCGGTCTGTATAAGAGAGCGACAGCAGGACCGTCTTAATCTGCAAGGTCGTTGTTCACTGATTCACTTATTCCCCAGTCTGAAAATATTAAAAACATTAAAGGATAAATCCTGAAAATACCAGTTTCTACCATGTCTTTACCAGAACCGGCCACTAGGAGGAGCCAGAGACCATGCTATGCATAGTGGTTGCTATGAAAAACAGCGTTTGCTGTAAATCTTGAGGTTTTTTGGCAAACACCACAGAGGTTGGAACTGATCCCCCCTTGGTTCTATATAGGGGGTCCTACTGTAGATATTTTCCCAGTCTGAGCCAGTTCCGTGAAGTGATGTGTAAGTTCAGACACTGTTCTGGAAGGTTGATACCCACATGTCTGCTAGCCGCTGCATGCCCTTCTGCCTCCCTCTAAATCAGGGATTCATGCATCATCCTGGCATGTTGTTGTTATTTTTAAAAAATGATTTATATTGCTGTGCCTCCTGCTGATGTCCAGCGTGTTTGCTTAGTCGATAACCCAGCCTTGTGCCTGGCTCTCCAGGCCCCTTCCTCGCTCTCTCTCTCACACACACACACTCCCCGGCTCTCCCTGCAGGATGTCTTTGAGATGCGGTTTGCAAAGATGCCCGACGACCCGGCCGAGCCGCCGCCTCCCCCCCCTCCGCCGGCCGCCCCCGTGGTCAGCAAGAGCGTGGAGAGCAGCCACAGCAGCGAGGAGAGCTCCTCCGACTCGGACAGCTCCGACTCCGAGGAGGAGCGCGCCACCCGGCTAGCCGAGCTCCAGGAGCAGGTGAGAGGCGACCCCTCCCCGCCCCCCGCTGGGGCTCCTTCCCTCGCCTGAGCCCCCCCGGCGTGGCCTTTTGCCGGGGCCGCTTCTTTCTGGAAAAGCTACCTGAGAGAGGGCCACCTGCCCGCTGCAGCCTGCCGGGGAGGCTCCCCAGCCTGGGGGGATGTGTGTGATGGGTCCCCCACAAAGTCTTCCCCCGCACACAGAGATGGTCCTGGGGTGCCAGAGAAGCCCCCGGCCCTCTGAGCGATGGCTGGCTGGCTGGCCGGAAACGTGTCCTGCTTTAACCTTCAGGAAAAACACAAGCCGGGGGGGCGGGTGTCTAGTGGGCGAGAGTCCTAAAACACCTTACGAGACGAGGAGGCAGAATCGAAGAGGAGGGGAGAAGCAACCCCACCAAGTGGTTTTAGGGACAGGCCGAGAGTAAGGAGAGAGAGAGAGAGAGAGAGAGAGAG